GCTCAGGTCCAAAAACCAAAACCTCAGTCTTGTTTGTGTTTTAGGAAATTAATGACACATGGACATTGCCATTTTATTTATACCTCAATGCATTCTGGGTAATTGATCTAGACTGTTTGCTGGGTGTGAGCTCCATTCAGCTTGAATGTTAATTTTGGACATTGTCTCACGTTGAGTCCTTTAATTTGAACCGAAGCGTGTTGATAGAGACGAGGATGAGAAATGAGTCAACTTTCACGTTCTCTCCAGAGCTAATGAATATGATGTTAGCTCGACATCATAGTGTAATAAGGTTAGCGCCAAAGTTCATAAATATCACAAGTTGGTCAAGTTTGACCCTTTTTTGTGTTTAAGGACCAATAGAAACTATAAGTTTACTGTCTCATCTTGTAACTTTTAGTATTTACTCCTTGGATTTTAGTTTAGTCTCCGCTACAACCCATGTACAGTACGTCATTCTCCCAGAATGCATTGCGGTAAATTGCAGGTTTTGCGGTAAAGTAATGGTGACGTCCTGAGGTGAAAAATGTAAAGAACATATCATTTTAAAGTAATTAGGAGTTTTTACGTGTCACAAACAACTTTTAGTAGAATAGAGAAATAAGAGGTGCAGGTTGTTCGAGGTTCCTTTGACGTCGTCCACCAACGAGTGAAGGCCGAGCCAGTCGGGCCGTAATGTTTTTGGTCTGGACTTGACTCGGATCGACATCAGTCTTTCCATCGAGTGATCGTGTCGTCTTCCAGAGCGGTTTTCAGGACGGTCTCTGTGAGGTTCCAGGCGAGCTAAAGATGGGACCCCAGCAGACTGCAGCGTTGATCGGCTGAGAGAGACGGCGATCCTCCGAGCGTCTCCTTGACGATGATCAAACCACCATCTTGAAAATCTGCAGCACTCAGTTTTATTATTTACATTTAAGACACATCTTAAACCAACTGTGGCTCTGAGGAAGTTCAGACGTGTCCGTGCTCGTTGACAGAATTCAAACGGAGTTAGACCAAAGGGGTCGACTCTGACCAGCGGAGGGAAGGTGGCCTCGACCCGACCACGCTCTGACAGTCCTGCCCACATCGAGGCAGACCGCAAGTCTTACGAAAAACCACGTGGACTCCAGCAGAGTCCAGGAGAACTTCGGGGCATTGGACAAAATGTCTGTCCAGATCAGCTTTTCCTGTTGCCATGGTAACCACGCAATTGATCAACGACAGCATTTTTTCCTGCTTCCTGTTTCCACCTGAGGAGCTCTCACCTCTGCAGTGGCCTGACCTCTGACCCCACCTGACAGCAGTCGCATTCCTGAGTAACACACACACACGAGCGCGCGCACACACACACACACACACACAGAGCCTAACCAGTGGCCTCAGCAGCTGCAGTTTGGTTTCACATGGAAAGCAGCAGAAACGAGCCTCCAACCGAACTCTGAGCTGGCGGGGGACACGGTGGACAGGTCTCCGTCCATCACAGAGACACACAGAGACAAACAACTATTCATACCTGGGACAGTTTAGCCGACCCTGCATGTTTTGGTCTGTGGAAAGAAACTGGTGTACCTGGAGAAAACGTGTGCACAGGTAGAACGTTCAAACTCTACCCAGAAAGGTTCGGTCCAGCAACCTTCTTGCTGAGAGGTGGCCGCCCTACCTGCTGCACCACTGTGCTGTTATAATGGGAGCTGAATGCGGCTCCGAGCTACTGCAGCTAGCTGTTGTTAGCCGTGGACCCCAGGTCCGCCTCCAGCTCACGCTCCCCCCGGCTCGGACCTCCCTCAGAAGCTGCAACTCACACTATTAATAAATCAAGGAAACGTGAATTCAGTTGTACCAACTGTATTAAATCAAGGCAGGAGAAGGTTAAGGTTTACAGCGCTGGCCGGTCCGGTCCACGATGCAAGATCAGGAACCGGAAGGGCCGTATGTCCCGTGGCATTACAGATTTATAGAGCCTAGACTCCTCCTTTCAGAAGGGTGCACAGCCTATCACATGGATGAGGGGGAGGGACTAAGTGTGGTCTCATTGGACCGTATCTGGTTTAACGTGTAAGGAAAAAATGAGACATGGATGAAAAGCCTTTCTGCGTGACGTAGCAAGCAAAATAAACTATTCCTTGACGGATATTGAATCCCAGGCAGACTCGTTTTAGAGTTGCTGGCCCCGGTTAACCCAGTCAGAACCGGGTCATAATTTCATTATAATCCCGTCTCTGAGCAGATCAAAACCCCAGGGTCAGTCTAGATAAAAATACTAACAGTTCTGTCCTAATCATTAACCAACTTTTACAGTAGTATCTGTACAATATACAATAAATATACGATAAATAGTTTTTAAAAATCTCCTGTGTATAATACCTACAGTATCACCGTCAGGTCCAACCGATCAGACCGTGTTCTCCAGGTGAGCAACTCTTCCTTCCTGTACTGACGTTCACCAATCACAACCGTCATCTTACACCCCACTCTACGATACTTTGTCATTTTCTAGGAAACCTGCTGAAGCCCTGTTTACGTAACACCATTTTAGGTGGAGCCAACCCCTGCAGGGTTTCGACCAATCGTAGACGACAGCTGCCATTTTCTCTGACACCAAGGAAGGACTTTTGAATCCAGGTCTTGAAGTCAAGGGTTTTGGAAAAGCCTGACATTCGTGTGAAATTGCACATGAGCACGACGGACAGCTGCAGTCATCAGTTTTTCTGGGTCAGTGGAACGGCGACTAGCAGAGTGCTGTTTGTCCTGCTCACCCTTTGTGTCTGACAGAAATGTTATATGTTCTACACATGTCATCGTCATGTCAGACCTTCTACAAACACTGCCGGTCCAACCCGCCATGCTGGATGGAACTGTCTTCATGCTTGAAAATAATCGGAGTGCGTGTTGTTAAAACAACAACAATCACAGCGCCACCTAGTGACCTGGCGTGTAAACTGAAGAAGATTCAGGTTTTTCTGTGGTCTCGTTAAGGGTCTTGGGTCGTCTAGGGTGCGAGGAAGTCTTTGGACCGTGGAGTCACAGACAAGACAAACAGCAAACCACGTGGTCGTGGTTTGAGCGGCCATTTTTTAAAGAACATCCCAGTCTTCCTTCACGCGCGTGACCTGCACAACTGTATTCTTGGCCACGCACATTATTGTTGCTCGGCCCATTTTATCTCCACCTCGGCAACTTCCCCACGTTTATGATCTAATCTACTGGAGTACATTTTATAAATGGAGACGGGACCAATTTTAATAAATATTTTTAATGATCAGAGCGGGTTTTAGAGCCGGGCATGCAGGACTCAGGTTTCCTGCCAGAGGATGGGTCCCTGCAGGGGTCAGGGTGCGGAGCTGGTGCTCTGGGTTTGATAAAAACTAAAGAGAAAACGTTTAAGACAAGAAAATTAGAAGAATTGTTTTTTGGCATATTTGAAATTCAAGCAAGAACACCCGCGAACATGTTAAGACGTTTCAGAGACTTTCTCTTGAATGACCACGGGGCTCCAACGCTCGCGGCGCCTGAACAAACCGTCCTTCCTCTGTTTGACCCATTTGAGGCGTTTTGTTCCGGGATGTGAAAAACGAGAACGTTAGAAACGGTAAACTGAGACTTCATGGCTCTTTCTGCTGAAACAGCCCGTTTGCTGATGTGAAGGTTGCAGCGGTTTCAGAATCTGGTCTTCAGCTGAACGCCTTCCGTCAGCCGGCGAGATCCAGGAGGTCAAGGAGGAAACAGACGCACCTGAGGACTACAGGAATACCAGACCGCGGTACTGACCACCGAGCCACTACAGCCCCCCACATCAGGACATCTTGTGGGACAAAAACATCTCTAGATTTTCCAGGAATCTCCTTTCAGACCTCCTGGAAACCCTTCAAGGACTCTGTTTGCTCCTCCAGGACCATCCCAACCACCCTCAGGGATTCGACTGAAGGACACTCAAACATCAGCGGAACCATTTCAACAAGATACTGAAATACACTGTAAATATTCCAAAACATTTCTCATTTATCTCCTCGTGATTCAGGGCTGCCTCAAAAACTCCTCGCAGAGATTTGTATCTTCAGTTAAGGCCTTCAAATGTGGAACCGAAAGTTTTGTTTTAGAGATTAAATTATTATCTCAGATTCCTGAGCATGAGCTTTTTAATGTTTAGAGATTAAAGTTGAAAACGAGGTGAAAGGCGGGAGAAAGTGTGTTTTTTTGTGTGTTTGTTAGCAAAATATCTCATAAACCACTGGAAGAGTTTCAATAAAACTTTTAGGTTGATTTTTTTTTTTTTACACATTTTGAGCTCAAACTTGGTGTGGTAGTAGCTGAGGGTTGTCCTCATCACATACTCTGAGGGCTACTCTTCGAGGGGGATGTTTGCTTTAAAGTTTCGTATTAACTGTTGGCGTCAACCTGTCTGTTAGCAAAATATCTCATGAACAACCGGATGGATTTTGATGAAACCCTCAGGAAGTAATGAATGGATGCACATCTACAACTGACCAACTTATGAAGTAAATCAACTCAAGATGGCCGCCACAGCTAGTCGACAACAGCAAGCACAAAAACGGCGATTAGTCTGTCAAATTTAAAGGTTTTGAGCTCAAATGTGGTGTGGCAGTAGCTGAAAGTAATCCTCAACAAATACTCTGGGGGTGATATTGTGAGTTAAGTTATTTTTCTGGTACTGAAAGATAACTTAATTTTTTTCCTTATATTCTTAAATTCCCACAAAGAAACTTAAGAGGTACTCGTGCATCCTAATTTTAATTTAAAGGCCACATAGTTATTGATTTTACGATTCTGTGCTGCTAAACACCAATAAAAGCGCTTTAAATCGACTTTAAGCCTGTAATCATTTTCCAATTGAAATTTAATTTTAAAGTAACCGACAGACGCCGGTGGGCGGGCACAAAGACACGGAGCTCAACGCTGATTGGATGAAAGTGTTCCGTGGGCGGGGAAGGTTGGAGCGAAGGAGAGCGGTGATTGGTTGACGGTGTGAGCGTCGCGCGCACGCTCCGCCTGTTAATAAGCGGCCGCTCGGAGAGTTCAAACAGTGTGAGATGTTGTCAGAGCAGCTCGCGCCTCCGAAGTTAAACATTCCGCGTCGATTCGAGCCAAAGTGGATTTTAAAGTCTTTCGTTGTGAGTTTGGACCCAGTTTCCGGACCATGGTCCAGCACTCGGAACGCGCCGGGGCGGAAGTCACCGACTCCCGCCACGGGACGGAGCCGGAGGAGGGCGAGCTGCTGGCGGCCTCGGCCCGCCGCGCGGCGCCGCTCAGGCCGGACTGGTGCCGGACGGCGTCGGGCCACATCAAGCGGCCCATGAACGCCTTCATGGTGTGGTCGAAGATCGAGCGGCGGAAGATCATGGAGCAGAGCCCCGACATGCACAACGCGGAGATCTCCAAGCGGCTCGGGAAGCGCTGGAAGCTGCTGAAGGACTCGGAGAAGGTCCCGTTCATCCGCGAGGCCGAGCGGCTGCGGCTGCAGCACATGGCCGACTACCCGGACTACAAGTACCGGCCCAAGAAGAAGCCCAAGGCGGGGGAGGGGGCCCCCCCGGCGGGGAAGTCCCCGGAGAAGAGCTCCTCCAGGCCGGCCAGCAGGAACCCCGGGACCTCCAGGAAGGTGAGGCCCGGCAAGCAGGGGTCCGGGACCGGCAGAGCGGACCCCCGGTACCGGTTCGTGTTGAGCAGCTTCAAGAGACGGGACTTTACTGACGATGAGGAGGAGGAGGAGGAGGATGAAGAGGACTCGGAGGAGGAGGAAGAGGAGGAGGAGGACTTCAAACAGGAGCAGGAGGAAGAACCGGACCGGTACAGCCGGACTCTGAGCCCCACAGAACCGGACCTGGAGCCGTCCGGCCGGCTCTTCTACAGCTTCAAGAACATCACCCGGCAGGGGACCAGCACCTCCTCCTGGTCCCCCACGTCCTCCTCCCGGTCCGGGTCCACTTCAGACCTGGACGATGGTGCAGACCTGGCCCTGGGCTTCCTGTCCGACCCCTGGACCTCCTCCTCGTCCTCCTCGTCCAGCTCCTCTGCGGGGAACCTGAGCCTGTCCTTGGTGGACAAGGACCTGGACTCTGAGGGCAGCCTCGGGTCCCACTTCGACTTCCCAGACTTCTGCACCCCCGAGCTGAGCGAGATGATCGCGGGGGACTGGCTGGAGGCCAACTTCTCAGACCTGGTCTTCACCTACTGAGGGTCCGGGTCCCCTGGAGGAGCACCGGACTTCTCAGACCTGGTCTTCACCTACTGAGGGTCCGGGTCCCCTGGAGGAGGACCGGACCTGGACTATGACACAAACAGGGTTTTCTTTTCAGCCTCCCGGGTCTGGACCAGAACCAGGACTATGCACCCCCTCAGACCAGATCCTTCTCTGCAGGTTTTATTTATGAACCAAACTTACCTCAACTTTTTAATAAAACCAGAATAAAAATATTTTCAAGCTTATTTTTCTAGACTCACCTGGGGAGTGTCAGGCCCTGGTTCCTTCTGATGTGTGCGGGTTCGATTCCCGCCCGCCATGATGGGAGCACATCAGTCGCCAGATGTTGAGTTTTCAAAGACCAAGTCAAAACGTGGATTAATATTTATCTGTTCCTCCAAGATTCACACCAAATGATTGATGGAGCACTTGAGTGGGCGGGGCCTGATGAAGCACTTCAGTGGGCGGGGCCTGGGTGTCAGGTACTGCTGCAGGCTTCGTTAAAATCGGGGATTAAATCAGATTAGCTCAAACTAAACTCTTTTATGATTTTTGTCTTTTTACGCTCCTGAACCCAGTGATCCGGCTCGGGAACTCCTGGAAACCGGGTCTGGATCTTAGTTTTGGACGAGGGAACCTCAGACCAGGTCTGGAGCTCAGGATTCCCCAGCTGGTTTTTAAAAAGAGCTCTGCTAGCTGCAGAAAAGGTAAAGGGGCCTTGCTCAAGGGCTCGGAGTGTGGCAGGTGTGAGTGCTTCATCTTTCACACCCACATTTTGCTTTTGTCGATCCAGGGAGTTGAACCGGCAACCCTCGAATCACAGGCCCACCTTCTCTAACCGCTGCCCCACCGCTCCCAGTACCAAAACTTTACATTTACTAAAGTAATCAGTTATTTTCACCTAAAGTCGTTTGGGTCGACCGAACGGTTGATTTGAGGCGTTCAGGTGAATCGGCTGAACTCTGGAGGACAGGTAAATAATAAACACGTGTTCTGAACGTCCGGGACGTGGCGGGTGAGCGGCTCCGCGCTTCGATGCAGATGTTTACCGATGTACAGACAGATGTTTACCGACTGTAAATAACTAGTTCAGGTGTTTCTTCAGACCAACTGGATTTTTCAGTTTTCTATTGTTTTTATTCAGCCCTTCAAACGCAGCACGTGTTTGTCTGTTTTTATTCAGCCGTTCAAACGCAGCACGTGTTTGTCTGTTTTTATTCAGCCGTTCCGTCGCTCGTTGTTTTGGTGCAATATGTTCAGAATGTGTTTTCAAAGAAACGGAGGAAGTGAGCGTTTGTAGCTGAAGGGCAGCTGTTGTGATGAAGTGTCATGAAATAAATCAGCTGGAACTGATCACACCGTCTCCTCTTGGCCTCCTGAAGAGCTTCATGAGCTTTTATTTAAACACGTTCAGGTACTTTGGCTCATGTTTGGACTTTTATCTGAACTGGAGCCAGTTGACTTGAATGGTGCGTTCAATGACTGCGGGATCTTTCAGTTACACCCACTATAGCAGTAGTTTTTTAATTTTTGCCTTTGTTGAAAACCCAAAATGTAATAACAAGGCACACAACAAGAAAAACATGTTCACAGTTGATATGACAAAAAAACTAAGCAGAAATTATGAATAGAAATATAATTTAAAAAAAGAACAATTAGAGGAAAGGGCAAAATAAAAAATGTTACAAATGCAAGACGAGTTTCAAGTCTTAAAAAAAGCTATTGGGCTTTTGGAAGGTTGCAGCGTTTGAACACTTCCTTAAATAAAATTATTTTAAAAATGTTGAACATGGGGGTAACTTTCAGGAAACGGCTTTAGTGGATAAAAAAATTATCCATAAGGATGAAGTTATTACCATAATTTAAAACTTCTTTGTTTAGTTTTTTCTTATTTTCTCAGGAACTTGTTTACACCTGAAGCCATTCCCGTCAGTTTAAAACTTGGGCTGGCGTTCATGTTGGAAAGATCCAGATCCAGGTGAGTCAGAACCTCCGTGACGAGCTGCGGGACTAAAGCCGGGGTTCTGAAACTCTCGGGTCCAGGGACCCCCTCGTGTCTCACTTTGTCTCTTTAACGCTGTGGAAATATTTCTACAACAAATACTTAAGACCTGTTCTTTAATAGTGTTTTTATACTTTTAAACATGGAATATTTTTCATTCAAGACATTTTTAATTTCAACTTCCAGCAATTACAGTTTTAAGAAAATTAACAGCATCAAAAAACACTTTAAAACTTGACACATTGAAGATAAATGAATGATCACTTCTTCATATTATGACATGAAACTGAACAGAATCACAGCAGGAGCCATTCTGAGTAATAAAACTTAATATTTGTAAACTGATTGATGCCGGTATGAAAATAGTGCGAGTGCAGAGGAGCTTCCCCTAGAAACATGTGAATAGATGCAGTTCCCTGCAATATATATATATATATATATATATATATAGGTTTTTTTTGTGGGCCCCCAGGCACTGGTTCACAGACCCATGGGGGTCCGGCTCACCCAGTTTTAAAACTACTAGACTAAAGAGCATAAACCCACTTAAAGCATCTTCAACCTGATGGAACAACTGACCTTATTTGATTAAAGAATACTTCAGATTTAAAAATAAAGTAGGCTTTCTAGTGTTTCTATTAATTTTTTAAAAGTAATTCCACAAAGACGTCACCATTTTATTTACACTGCAATGCATTCTGGGTACATTATGTAGACGGCTTGTTCCCGTGTTCGCTCCGTTCAGCTTGAATTTAATTTTGGACTATCTGAAGTTCATGTTGACGGAAAGAAGAACGGAGAAGTGAATCAGCTGTCATGTTCGCTCCAGAGATAATTCAAGGATTCAAGGCATCCCACCTCACGTGGTACATGTGGTGGAATGAAATTATGTTCACAGGGTCCCAGTTACATCCAACAATAAATGTAAATGAAAAACAGTAACAAGATCTAAAATATGAACTAAGAACAACATCAACTAAATATACACTAAGCACTCATAACATAAAACATTACTTCGAACAGCAGCACGAACATGAGTCTGAGTGAGCAGCACGAATGAACACATCAACATGAAACGGATCAGCAGCAACATGAAACGGATCAGCAGCAACATGAAACAGATCAGCAGCAACATGAAACGAATCAGCAGCAACATGAAACGGATCAGCAGCAACATGAAACGGATCAGCAGCAACATGAAACGGATCAGCAGCAACATGAAACAGATCAGCAGCAACATGATGTGATTTTTCACATTCATTATCCTGGTTAGAGATTCATGAATAACAGCTTCAGGGTAGAAGCTGATGTCTATGATGTTAGCTCCAGAGCTAATATATATATATATATATATATATATATATATATATATATATATAATAGCAACATATATATATACAATGTTAGCTTTAGAGCTAATAAATTTGATGTTAGCTTCAGAACTAATTTTAATGTTTTGGATCCTTTAGTTTAGTAGAGTTTTAATATAATTTAATATTTTTACTTCACAGAAATTACAGATATCTTCATAACGTCCCAGTATTTTACTAACAAAGACATAAAACTAAAATCAACCTGCGCTCGGAACAGAGCTTCTCAAGCTGAACTGCGAGCGTTCTGTTTTCAGTCTCAAGGTCAAAGGTCAGAGGTTTATGTCCATCAGGACCTGCTGTGACTGATGGGTCCATATGAGCCGGGTCTGGATCCGTTTAAAGGCCCCGATGACGGAGAGGCTGGTTTTCCCTCCAGCAGCAGACAAAGGCTCAGTGTTGGAGCTCAGCGAGGTCAGAACCACATCAGAACCATCACCTGACACCCAAAACCTGCCCGGAACAGAGACCCAGTCCCAGACTGGGGCTGGTAAGGATCAGCAGAACACAAACACTGTATGGCAGGCCATTTGTGTATTTATTCATGTAAGCTTCATTTTCTCTCCCTAGTTTGTGGCCAAACATCTGGTTTACCCAACGAGTGGAACTGTTTCACAAGTTCGTGGCGCTTTGACATATCGGATGTAGTTGGAGACTAAAACACTGTCAGGGCTCAAAGGTGCGACTATAAAGTTATATTTTATATAAGTCCTTATGCACAAAATGTGGGTTGAGATGATCAAACGTGATCAACTTGTGATCTTTAATTTATCAGCTCTTGTGGGTCAAAACACTCAACTTGTGATATTTGGTACATTAGCTTGGGAGCTAAAGCTAACTGGTTTGAGCTTTGAGTCCTTATTTTTATTCCTTTAAGGAACTTTTTCTTTTCTGTTCTTTGTTGATATCGCCTGCAGTCATTAAAAGTGGGCGATTGTGTAACTGCCTGTCTGTTAGCAAAATATCTCACTGGACCAATGTGGACATATTTTAATGGAACTGTGAAACTAGTCACTGGGTGAAGGTCTGTAGACAGTTAACATCTGGAGCCAATTCAAGATGGCCACCACATGGGTATAGCCACTTGAGTCATTTTATTTTTTTTTTTTTTTACAGAAAATGAGCTAAAGCTTGGCATGGTAGTAGCTGAGAGTCATCCTGAACAGATGAGCTGACGGATCATGAGGATTTGAGCTTAAGGCTCGTAAGGCGTGCACGATAAGCAGTGCGTCTGTTTGGACTCTTCCTGTTTGGATCGTTTTGTTGGTTCTTTGTGCTCCTTTTTGTATTTAATATTTTTATATTTGTGTTCTTCGTGTTTTTATTGTTTGGTGTTAAAACTAAAATAAATAGTTTTAAACCGTCGTAGATTTACAACATACCCCAAATTCTGAATCTTCCAGGTTTCACTAACCCGAGCTCTGGTGGCCTCGCCTCAGTCTGCCAGGACCCAGAACCACATACCAGGTTCCAACCAGAACCTTAAGCCCAGGTTTGAGCCCCGGAGCGTGGGGGAGGGGGACAGGAAACAGGCTCTTGGCCCCGTCTGACCCGGACTCTGTGAACCAGTTCTCTCTCGTCAGGCAGGAAGTGACGAGCAGAGGAATGTGACTGAACCCAGATGCTCGGTGTGGTAGTAGCTGAGAGTCATCCCTCATGAAGACACTGAACTTTTTCTCTGTTTCCACCTGCGGCTGCTGCTCTCGCAGTGATCGGCCTCGGGTCGGTGGAAACGATCTGCTGGTGTTTCCATGTCGCTGCTCTCAGATCAGCCGATCAAAGGGAGCGGCGGCGCTCAGCTGGATCCTCTCCAGTCTGATCAATCTGGGGCTTCTGCTCGGGATCACTCAGACCGGCTCCGGGGCATTCTGGGTAACAAGGACGA